GCGTCGGGGAAGAGCTGCGCGCGGGCGTATAAATAAATCATCGCAACTACTTAGACATTCGTTCTGTGCCCTGCAATCCTGCAGCTACTTGTGTTTCGCCTACTTCGAGCCCTCCATCCCCCTCGCCCTCTTCACCCCCTCTTCCCCTGGCTGTCGCTCTGCTCTGCTCTGCTCCTCCCCGAAACTACTACAGAGAATTCCTGATGCAGGTAGTTTCAGTTTTATTTTCTCCAGAGGGCTCGCGTGCGTATGTAGATGGTTTATTCAATGCCGTGTATAGGTGGTATGGCTTTGCTGCTGCTGCTTCTGGCACTCGTTCGAGCTGCGCGTTAAAAATTGATCGATACGCCCGCGCGTATCCGTGTGTTTTTTACCCAACGATCGGCTCCGAGATTATCTATATCGTGCATAAAAAAACGTCGAGCATCTCGAAATTTCAACTCGATTTATGTACGAAGGATCGATTTTGACCACCTCGAGTCACCCAGCTCCGAGCTAATGAAAATTTCGATGAAAATTACTTCATAGAAAACTGTGCAGCGTATCTAATGATCAAAGATATATACCAGAGACAAGTTCGATTGCAGAATGCAGATAGATGGATATTGCGACGTGTTTTTCATTTTTTTTATCCTAGTAGAAGATGATTATGTCACGACACTTGGACGACTGAACAACTGTTGCAAAGAAAAAAACTTTTTTTTCAAATAAACAGCAAGATGGAAAGTTTTTTATAAATTTTTACATAAAACTGAAATAAAATTAAAATACAAAAAAAATTAATATTCAAGTGTATAAATAAATTCAATTTTTTATTCCTACATTCATTATTAAACAAAAATACTTTGGAGAACTCTTGGAGTTTTACCAGCAAAACAAAGTTATTACTGTTTCTCTATAAACATGTGTATCAAATTTTGAGTTTATATTTATAATTTTCTTGAGCTGCAGCTATTTTGTTTTATTTCAAAATTTTTCTTTGTCTGAAGTAATGGTTACACGAATATAAAAGAGTCATCACGAGTGATCAGTGTGGCAGTTTTATCAACTTCTTCGAAACTGATGTACTCCTAAATTTTTACAGTGATCGGTCAAATGGATTATCAGAATCCATTGACACAATTAGTTGCCAAAAATCTTAAAGTGAAATATGACTTTGCTGTTCTCAAGATTACGATGATCGTTATGAAAAATACCAAACAATTTCTCGAAGGAATATGAGCGGTTAATTAGTTACAAAATCAAGGATCATGGGCAAATTTTAATTTTAATTTTTGTAGAGAACCTCCTATATTTATCTGTATTATGAACCTAGATGTAGATCGGATAAGTGGAAAAATTGTTTAATTTGATCATTATCACACCGTTTAACTCGAACTTTTTTAAAAATATTCTCTAAATCTTAAAAAAAAATTATCATATAGTTGAGATACAGGATGGAAAATTTTTCTCGGATGGCATCGTTGCGCATAAAACATGGGGCACACGATATATTTCTTCCTTCGAATGAAATGCCTAATTGAATCGACTTCATAAATATAATATTATAATAAAAACGAGTCATTTGGCTCGGTATCGCTCCGAGTAAAAGCAGTAGCGGTATATAACACGCAGCATCGCAACGCGCGCGAGAGAAAGAGAGAAGATTTTACGAGCACGCGCAGTTAACTTCTTATATTCATCGAGTTCCATAAATTTTTCTTAAGATTTTTCTTACAACGGAGATAACTACCAGCGCTCGCGATTACATAAAATAATATATCCTCTCTCTCTCCGCGTGCACGCGTGGTTCTTTTTTTTTCTATTCTTTTTTTTCCTTCATTTTAGTAAGTACTCTCAAATTGAACAACGATAAATGATGGCAATTACTTTGCTTTCCCGTCATTAAATCCCTTTTTTCCTCGCTGCTTTGGAACGCGAGAATGTTCCCTTTTTTTACAACGAATTATTACGACTGTATTTTATGCACGTACACACGTAAAGAAACATATATCAAAGAATCGCGCGAGGCACTAGTCAATCCTCCGGAGACTTATCCGCTCGGCAAATAGCATTTCACGTACAAGAAGAGAGGGTGAGAGCTCCTGATAACTTGAGTCTCTCTCTCTCTCTCTTGCTCTCGTGCTCAATGCGGTCAAATGCAGATCCACCAAAGCGCGTACGGCACACATCGCGCCGCAGTAGATAAAGGCCTTATAAGGTCAGACGCGCCGCTTTAGCGTTTAGAGCCGTAAATCGCTCGGCATGGACGTCGCGCTCGAAGCTCGAACTGTACCGCTCTGTATACGTAACACTTCACGATACTTACATCTATATAGCAGCCGTAAACTTGGTGTGGAGGATAATTGATTGGAATCATACGTGCATCAAGTCTACGCACTTGAAAATACGTTGACTCACTTTTGAATGCCTCGCAATGTATCGATCGATGTTTTTCGTTTCCGAAACTCATACTCGTGTGCGACGCGTGTTTATGCGTATTACGGCTTGAATCTATACTTCTATGCGCTTGTGCACGCGGGGGAAGAAAACTTTTTCTACAAAACTTCCGTGAAAACGATCTCGCGAACAAATCGACTGGTCAACTTCGCTGCCGCGACAGAAAGTATTCCACTCCGATGTATAGTTGTTGAATGTTTACGTTGATACTGTAGCGGCCGCTTTGTTGATACAAAGTTTTTCCCGCTGCCGCGCGTGTATATAACGCGCGCGTTTTTGCATTTGCTGCTCTCCCCCGGACTTCGGTATAATCCTCGGCTCTTTTACATTTTTTTTTCTTCGTCCCCGCGCGCGTTTCGATAGAGCAAAAACATTTTCACTGGAAATTAGCTTTTATGGAAAAATTTTTCACTCGCGTAAGCGCGGGCGGATTCTGCAGTGCAAACGATTTTTATGAATAAACGAACTATGACATGAATTTTCGGGCACACCCTCTGCCTGCAGCTGCTTTATTTGATATAAATTTTTGCGGGATTTTTGAATGAGCGACGGATGAACTTTGGTTTAATTATCGAAGAAAAAAGTTTTGACAAGTTACGAGAGGAGTTTTATTATTTTCGAAATTAAGAAAGGTACGTTTGAGTTAAATTTCACATTAAAAGTAAATAAGATGGAAAGTATAAAAGATTTTTTTTTTTAACAATGTGCGCCAGAACAAATCATGATTCGTACTACTGAGCAACTTTTCCATGCGCTTCTTTCGTTGAATGTTTAATGAAAATTTTTTATTCGTTCAATTTGTAGCAAAGTTTAAGATATTTCAATTCGCCCAGTATAGCAGAACATTTTCAATCAATAATTGGATTCAACTTTAATATAAATAAAATTTTTTCTTTGTTTCTATATCCGAATCCTACGTTTGCTCGTTTCCCGATAACTAAAGTAATAATTTCAAGGAAAGCAAAAAGTAACGGCTATGAGCCGGAATTTCACTCGTGCAAGTTAGTTTGGCGCGACGATTAAAAAAGCGACGCGATCCAAGTCGGATCCGCGTGGGGCACAAACGACGACGTTAATACGTTCCGTCGCTCGCGTTTATACGCCACTATACAACGGATGCTCAACCAACTGCGAGAGGCGAAAGAAGACTTGATTGATCGAACGTGTATAGACAATAGGCACACGTACATATAGGCAGGCAGGATACAAGCTCGGAGCAAGAAGAGTATTAGCGAAAAACCAAAGTGACGCTCGCGTATATAGACTATACACTATACGAACGCATGAAGAGAGCTCAAAGAAACAACGCACTTTGACGTGCCGCTGCACCGCATCGTATGAAATAGACAGAGAGAGAATCTCATCGATTTTTTGTTTTTCTCCGTAAACAGCGAGATGAGCTGGAACAAAGCTCGTTTTTTTTATATTTAAACATTTTTATTCTAATCAACGATCGCATTTTCCAGTGTACAACGACGCGATGCCGATATGCAGTCGCTCGCGCGCGCGCGGGGGCAGTCTCCGCATGTGAATTCGTCCGCACTATCGATTTTCTAATTCAAACTGCGGTTCGTATAATGGACAATTAGCCGATAACATACAGGGGCGGCGGTGTATACCTGCCATGCATACAAAGCATCGTTTCGTTGCCCCAGACAGTATATAGTTATCGTTCCCTCTTTCTCTCTCTGTTATATGTGTACTCGCAGCTGCAGATCTTTGCGAATGCTCGTGGCAAGCTAAAATCTTTACGAAATCCTACGAACTTCTCCCGCGATCTCGACGCCAAGTTTAACCGATGATTATCTTCTCTTCGGGCTATCTCTCGACGTGGCCGATGCCAATAACGGAAATTGCTGACGATCGTTGGATACTCGCTAATCCTTCGCTCTGTATATAAATATACATTTACAAAAATATATACCTACGTATATATTTATATATGCTGTACAGATGGCGAGGGAGAGGGAGAACAAGAACGTCACGGCGGATTTAGCGCATTGAAAAATCGATGGAAAAACAGCGAGTTAATGTTCTGCCAATAAATTCGCGAATTACGCCTATAATACGGCTCTATAGCTCGCGCTCGCTCTCTTTTTAAAGTTATGAGCGTCAGACGTCTTATTTTGCAAGTTGGAATTTGCTTCTTCCTTTTTTTCTTTGTTTTGCGCGCGAGAGGCAGCTTCAAGATCGATTCCATCTATAAGTTATATACAGCAACGGCAGCGGCAGCAGCAGTAACAGCAGATATGAGCTATCCTGGGTATATGGAGCGAGGGAAAGCTTGATTTATTAGCGCCCAGTTGGCAGTTGGAAGGGCTTTTCAGCTGAGCTGTTAAAACTCGAGGATGATTTGTGTGACCCTCTCTCTCTCTCTCTACCCCTCTCTAAGCGAGTGATTTTGTATTTCATAAAATATATACTGCGCATGTAAACGCGTCTGATTCGCTTTTATGGCGTGGACTTGACGTTTCCCCAGATATAATGTTATAATCGTGTAACCGATTTAAAATTCTTCCATCGATTTTGGATGCTAATGGATCCTTTGTTGGATGTTGCAGCTGAGGCTAGACGTGGGCGACGACGACGACGTTCGATGCACGTGCCAATGAGTAGATGAAGCGAGGAATGGAGGCCTCGTGGCGGGGGCAGCAGCAGCGAGGGCACTGCCGCGATACTTTACCGGACCAGTACCTCTCGTCGTTCAAAATAAACAGTCTCAAGCAATTTTCAGGTAAATCTAAATCTCGAGTTACTTAGAAATTTTTACCATAATATTTTTTTCGATCGTTGACAACAGTGAAAAGAATCAGTCGCTGGAGCAAAACTAGAAGATCCAAAAGACCGAGAAGCATGGCGGTCGAGTCAAGAGTAACCTATGGAAGGTCGGCGGACGAGGAAAAACGAGTCTCAGCGGCGACGTCAGCGACAACAGCGACAACGGGTCTACTGAGCTCGAGCATCGGGCCCCGTCCGATGGCACTTGTCCCCTGGCACTGAGCGATGCGCGTAGTTGGGGCCGAGGCCCAGCTAGTGAGCATGTGGCTCACTAGAGAATGAAGAAGCAAAACGTCCGGACTTTATCGTTGATCGTCTGCACGTTTACCTATCTCCTCGTTGGCGCAGCAATCTTCGACGTGCTCGAGTCCGCGACGGAGAAACGACGCAAGGAAGCTCTGGACGGTAAGACGCGTCTATTTATTGATTTCATTTTCGATTCTCATTCGACTCGACTTATCTTCGATCGCAGCTATCGAAAGAATGATCATAAGGAAGTATAATATCAGCGCGGACGACTACAAGATAATGGAGACGGTGGTGTTGAAGTCGGAGCCACACAAGGCCGGCCAGCAGTGGAAGTTCGCCGGGGCGTTTTACTACGCCACCACGGTACTCACCACTATTGGTACGGCTGCTGATATCCTTTTATACTTGTTCCTATAACGGAGCGACGTAATGAGTCGATGTCTTTTTTGTCAAGGTTACGGACACTCGACGCCCAACACCATTTACGGCAAGCTTTTCACCATGTTCTACGCGATCATCGGCATACCGCTGGGCCTCGTCATGTTCCAGAGTATCGGCGAACGTCTAAACAAATTTTCTTCAGTTGTCATAAGAAACGTTAAAAAGCTCCTCAATTACAAAGAAGTAAAGGTAATTTTCATGTTCCAACTTCTCCCCTTACTTTCAACCGGATAGTAAAAATGATAGAAACAAGAGCTTTTTGTTGCCTATCGCTTTCCATGATGTAACGACTCGTGACTTTTTTTCATGGACAGGCCTCAGAAATCAATCTAATATGTGTGGTGACGACCCTGTCGATATTGACGATCGCCGGCGGTGCCGCGGCGTTCTCGCGCTACGAGGGCTGGTCCTACTTCGACTCCGTCTACTACTGCTTCATCACACTGACGACCATCGGCTTCGGCGACATGGTGGCGCTGCAGAAGGACAATGCCCTCGACAACAAGCCCGAGTACGTCATATTCGCCCTGATATTCATCCTGTTCGGGCTGGCGATCGTCGCCGCCTCCCTCAATCTGCTCGTTCTCCGATTCGTCACGATGAACACCGAGGACGAGAGGCGAGACGAGGCCGAGGCTCTCCAGGTAAGTTACTTTATATTATTTTCATTCATTTCATTATCATTACCAACTAAAAATGCGATGCGCAGGCCGCGCAAGGGGCCGTCCGACTCGAGGGCGACGTGATCACCGCCAACGGCTCGATACTGTCGGGCCAGCTGGGCACCCACGGCGAGACGGTCTCGCTCGACGACGACACCTCGGTCTGCAGCTGTCGCTGCAGCGGCTTCTACAAGAAGCGCCGGCGTCCCCGCTTCACCGTGCGCCGCTCGCCCGGCAAGATATCGCACCTGCTGCCGATGCAGCCGCTCCACCATCACGGCAGCCTGAACGGCGGGGGCGGCGGCGGTGGCAGCAGCAGCTGCTGCGGCGACGACGACTGCGCCACGACGCCCGACCAGGACGACTACATGCTGCAGCACATGCCGGCCTCCGCCTCGCACACGCCCCACCACCATCATCCACAGCAGCAGCAGCAGCAGCAGTCGATTCTTCATCTGCATCATCATCAGCTGGAGCACGCGGACCTGGTGGCCGACGATCTGCCGCAGCACGAGTACGTGATGAGGCCGTCCTCGTTGGCGCCGCTGCTGCAGCTGCCGCCGATCTATCAGCATCGGGCCAGCATCTGATCATCGGCACTCGTTCAGCAGCAGCAGCAGCAGCAGCAGCAGATTATTATACTTCGGAGATTGAGCCGCACCGGCTCGCTCTAGCGTTCGAACGCGCACCTCAGCAGGCGACGGGTGACAATTACATTGAATGCACCCATGGATTGGGTTAGTACGGTTACTGCGTGCCAGAGTTTCCTTCCAACCTATCTTGTACTGTACAGACATTGCATAATCGAGAGATTGGCTTTTTTTTAGACGCTCGCGACGCCGGATTCGTATCCGTTCCGTTCGACGAATCACCGATGAAATTGAACGTTGGCGTGGGCTACATATATATGACACAACGACTGTGCGCGTCTACGACGAATCCCGAGCGTTTCGCATCGCTCGCACACCTCTTCTGCTTCGACGCGTGTGCCATTCATATTAATTTTTAATTTCAATCTCTCGGTTCATGCTTCATCCTCGGGAAGGAGAAACGCGAATGAAAAAATATTGAATAAAAATGATAAAAAAAAAAAAGAAACGTGCGAGAAACGATTTTTCCAAATCGAACGACGTAATTATAAAATTATTATTCTACGAGTTTATGGGAGTAGATAGGAAACGAAGAAAACTTACAGACAACAGCAAAATGTAAAACAAGTAAAACTTGTAAGAAACGAAACCAGACACGTATCTCACAACGTATATAGAGTTCTCGAGACAAAGACTTAACGACTATACGAAAATTATAAGCTACTTATATTATAATAAAAAAAAAATATATATGAAAACGAAAATCGAGAGTCAAGCTCTGAATGTTGTGTGCGGGATACACAATGTAAAATAACGAGTGAAACTTATAAGAGAAACGAAATGAAAGACGATTATAAAGCAGGCAACTTTTTTTGTCAATTTGCGACTTTTGCCAAACTATACATCGATAGTATACGTCGAGGTGGGACGCAATTGACGATGATCGGAGCGACTTTTTCTGTATAGTTACGATAAAATAAATATAGTTTCCCCTGTGGTGCCTCACCAAAATTCGCGTATATCGACACTTACATAAATGGTATAGTGTGTAATTAGGCATTTCCTTTATATACATTTCTTCCTTCGATAATAATTAACGAAAAAAAAACTTCAAGAACTGCATGATCTACATAAAACACAATAATGCGAATCATCGATCGCTTCGGCCGTGAAAAACCGGACGAGCTTATTAAACATTATCAAGTACATGACACACCTGATATTCGTTTGCTACGACGAGAGAAAGAGTGAGAAGCATTAACAAGTTAACGAACAAGTTTTTCAATTATGTAAAAAAAATCGCCTTTTTCCCTTAAAATGTTCCAAAAGTATAACTAGAAAGGAGATATTACGATAAAACCTCTTCCTTATCATTGTAATGTAAATGAATTAAATATGAATATTTCGAAAAAAAACGGGAGTTATGAAGGATAATTTTTAAGATTAAAAAATTGATCAATGATTTGATCTCAAAGAGCCGCACCAAAGCTCAAATCGTTTTCTGATTTATATTATAAAAGTAGTGTGTTCTGAAAGACTGAGTGTGTTAAAGAGGTGCCAATAGGAATGAAGTATTATTCACGGACACGATTGACAGTTTTCGGAGTTGTGAAAAATTAATTATATAATCGTTAATTAAATTAGTCTCTTTGATTTCGTCCTTTTGAATTTAGACGTCTTCTTAATTTGAAGCGTTAAAAAAATTTAACTCAACTGCCAAAAATTCCTTATTAACCATTAAACGATTTAGAGAAAAATTAACTCTTGTATATACATAAATTATGAATTAGTTTATATTTAAAAATGTTAAAGTATCAAAGTATTTATGAAATATTAATTAGAAAACTTTATGATTTATGAAATTATATTTGTTATAATTAGAAACAAGAACAGAGATTTCAAAACGCAGAAAATTTAGCGTGAGAAATATCGAGTATGAATGCATCAATTGTGTGAAAAAATAGATTTTAATTGAAACAAAAAGATTGATATAATATATCTATATATACAATACACTGCTAAATTAATGAAAAGAAAAACAAATTTTACATCAATAAGACATTTTACAATTTGTACATATGAAATATAGATAAATTATACATAAAAACATAAATAATAATTACGGTTAGTTTCTAATTATCAAGAGCGAAAAATCGCGTGATTCTCTCGCAGTTATTATAAGTATTATGGCCAAGTCATCGTGATGGTGGAGTACTTTTCCTCATCTATGGGATGAATCTTCTTGTTAAAAAAAGCCCATGAAGAGACATAATTTTTCCAAAGTATTCTTTCTTCAACTTTTCACTTCTTATGATTAAAAAAAAATAATAATAATTTACCGTAACCATAACGTACAATTCGCTCGCATATTGCACGAAATTGTTATAGTTATGAACGAGTCGATTTATCAGGAAAAACTAGTAGAAGTAAAGCTTACAAATAATGACGAAGATGAATCAGGTTTTTGAGTCCACACATACCTTCATTGCGAAAACAAATATTCGTCCGTGTCAGTATATTCTTTATTGATTCTGTTGGTGTTTGAAATGTTGTGTTAAGTATATTTAACATTGTGATCACATAAAGAACCAACTTTTATTTTACGTTGAATGACTTACTATATTTATGACTGTTGTGTGCCAAGAATTTCTTATACATGTGGAAATTGAGTGTCAAATTGTTATGTTATACAGATTGATTGTTTATATATTATACATATAACGCCAAAATTATCATAATGATAAGTACGTATTTGATCGATTAAGAGCCCATACAATCATGAGAAAATCGTTTCTCGACTAGTTACATGAATAAATCAATTAATAAAAACAAAGTTTTTTCATCGTTGTATTGTATTTTTAGATAATTAGTAATGAAAAAAACATTGATATAAGTCGATAATTGTTATATCAAAGATTTTAAAATTTATTCATTTGTCTCCTTCTTCAAGTAAGCTCACAAAATTGCTTTAAAGTAAATTCAAACGTATGTGTGTAAATTTTCGTGTCTGAAACGATGTACATACATGCATAGATACATACGTATAAACATGCACGTAATTAAGTATGACAAAAAGTGAAAAATAACGCTGCACGCGTTATAAAGTAGAATGAGAAGAAAGTATTAAGCGGCCAAGTACGTTTTTTTTCCAAATCTTTCGCGATTTAACAAATATAGAAACTGAAGCTATAATCAACCATTGCTCTTCAATACTCATAATGCATAAGTCGCCCGATCGAAGAAGAAAAATGAGAGAGTATGAGAGAATTAAAAAAAATGCCAATTTTAATTGTAACAAAGTGAAGCTCTAACTATCATATGTATGTCTGTATCTCATAGTCACGAATTAATGTGTAAGGAATAAAAAAAAAAGAAACTTCCACTGTAATATATTAGAGAAATAGAGATTCTATATAAATATATATATAAATATATGAAAAAAAAAATTATGAAGATTGTGTATAATATTATAATTTTACGAGAGCATCGTCGATGTGATACAATGAATATAATACTAGAGAAAGATAAAAAATCAGCTTCTTTTGTGCCCAAAGGTTATTATGACGAGGAATAGTGCTCTCATTTCTCTTTTGACCCCGCTCATACATAAAACATTACGATCATCGAAATGAAAAAATGTTATTGCTTGCTCCAACTCCAACCGATAAATAATTTTCATTTTTCACGTAATATTAAAATTCGTGAACTCAATGGAACGCACGCATAATTGGGGTAATGATTTTTTGTTTTTAATTTGTTAAGGTGATGGTTTTGTAATAACTACAAATGTAACAATTGTTTCATCGTACTCGCATTGAAAAATAAATCGAAGGAAAGCGATCAAATGGGTATCAAAGAGAACAACCATCGAGAGAGCCTTTTTCAACGTCGCTGCGAGAATTGACTAATGTACCGCTTTTGCGCGATGTAGAAAATCCAATAATGAAAAAAAAAATTAATAACAAAAAATTTTAAAAATCTTTCGCAAAACATCGGTTGATTGATGTATTATCGTTTAGCTAGCTATATATGACGGGAAGACGATCGGTGTGTGTGTTTTGATCAACTTATAACGTAATTACCGCAAATTTCATTCCGATATCGACTAAAAGTAAGTTGAAGCGAGTGCGCGTGTGATGTGCCAAGCCCGCGTTTTATCGTAACAAAAAACGTTGGTTATATCATTCGGCTCGATTCTTGCATACATCAATGCATTTAAGCTTTAAAAAAAATCGTATCGATTTATTGTACCTGATATACATATAAAAAATTTTTGAATAAAAACTTCGTATTATCTTCTCTATTATTCTAACGATTTTTACTATTATGCTTTACATCTTATATTCGCATCATAACTTCATTTTCTAATTATAAATCGATAAGTAAATCCATTATTTGACTCACGAAACAAACAAAAAATTAAAATCAACGAATTTCGCTCTAATCAGGGCCCAAATACAATATGAGAGCTCAAAATAACAATGTATTAAAACACAGAAGCAAAAACTATAAGCTCGTGTCGCAACGATAATAAATTTCGAATTTTAAACTTTTTATTAGACAAAAATATGCAGTCGTACGAATAATAAAAAATGGGAAAAAGAACGAGTTTCATTTGCGAAAAATATAGATTACGTTTATACAAATATCAGTAAAACGAATAGTTTTTAAAAGATTCGATGTGAGGAAAAAAAATTAAAATAAAAAGATTTAAAATTATAAAATGTCGAAACTTTGATATCACTATTGTAGTAAATAAGCAATAGGTATGATAATGATAAGTAAGATAAAAAAAACAGGCAAATTTTAGATTTCCAAAATATGTAGATGTTTATTTCATATCATTGGATTAGCTGTACATTTTTTAGTGAAATTCACTTATGATAATTCATCGTTTATACAAAAATATACATATTATTTAATCCTTTTTAATCAATACCTAATGTCAATACTTTTAAACATACGATAATAAAAAAAAATACGATTGTACTGATAATAAATTCAGACCAATATTCATATGATGCACGAATGGATAAAAAATCGTCTTGTAAAGACCTTATTACGTATAAATACATAATTATAAAAATATTGCACTACAAGACATCGACCGAAAGCGCGTCATTTATACCAATTAGTAAAAATACCTATAATGATGATTAGGGAGAAAAGTATTTATAATTGTCAAATTCTATTCGTACTTAAATATTATAGTTACAACCTGTTCTGTTTAAACGAGATGAATAGAAAAATAAATAAATAAAACGTTTATTCGCTTTCTGCAAAAAAGTGCCACTATTGTGTAATTGTACAAAAAAAAATACCATTTCATGTATTTCAATGTAATCGATATAGTGTGGCTTTGAATTACCTTATAAATATTGTAAACGATGCCAAACAGTTATTATCACGTTATTGATAGAAAAAGAATCGATTTTAATTGTAAATTATAGAATTCCTTGACCCAGTGACGACGAAAAATTTTTTCGTGAGTGTTGTATAATTTTTATTCGATAGCATACATATCCTTCTGTTCTTGAACCACAAAAGCAACAGCTGTGCTAAGATATCGAGCCGATTTCAAGGGAGGGATTCACAATCTCTGAGGGTCTGATATTGTGAATTTATCACAATTACCGCATAAAAATATGAGAATGATGTAGGAATGAAATTTTCTGTTAAAGCTAAATGAAAAAAAAAAGTTAAAAGAAAATAACCCAGCGTGTCAAAACATTAAAAAATAGTCAAGTTGTAAAAGTGTTAGAAGCAAACATCCTTGATTGATACATTATAAACGTGTAAATCATCCAAATGGACTTCCTGATTATATGCTGGTATATGATAATACATGTGTTCTGCCACAATAAAGCAGTTTTTTAAAACTCTTTTTGATTTTTCATTAACCTTGTTCTATACCTCAAAAATGTATAAATCTTATTGGATTTGATATGTTGTTTATTTCTATTTCATATTATTTTTCTATTTAATTACTGAATTATAATAGAAGATATGTGAATTTTGATTCTCAGTGTTTTAAAGTAAAATACTTGAAAAAATAGTAAAACGTCAAAATTTTTAAAAGAGAATTTAATTTTAAACGTTTAGCGTTGCCTTAAAATCATTGATGGATGTAAATTTGAAGTTTGCGCGCTTCGAGCGCAGCATGGAATTCTACAGAATTTACCAAGGTCATTAATGGCGACCTATTTTTACTCGGCGGGTAAAGAAGATATTTCAATTTTTATAATGCTGCTCATCCAAATGGCTTGAAAATATGTGATTTCTATCAACGACTCGCGCAACTTGTTAAAGGACGAAAGTAAATTTTGTTCTCATATTTTATCCAAAACCGTCCGAATCTCGAATTTTATCAAAGTGTCAATCGTACAATAATACGTTTCTCCCGGCACAATTGCTTCCACGTCAGACAAATTGCACATGGACTTGGCAACGTCGCGCGGCAAGACTCAATAATGAAAGTGGGCTTCGGAACGGCCACTGTTGGTGGCGCCACGCTACGCGTTTTCTGATCGATAACAATCCGGCGGCGAGGCTCGTTCACTGTGTGGATGTGGTGGATATACATTCGTATACGGAGTCGCCGAAACGGGCTCGGTATTATAACGACGTGAGCACGATGATCTCGTCTCGCGCGTGGCGGCTCAACGATTTGATGCGAAGAGAGAGAGAGAAAGAGTGACACTCTTGGCATGGATTACAATTTATATCCACTGCAGCTGCCGGGACGACGAGCTCGCACGAGTCATTCTGTCTCTTGCGATTGTAACGAGGATGATGTGGTAATAAAGCAGGAGTCGCAGCTGAAATTCTAATTGAACGATGCAACCCTACCAAAGAGTCGCGTCTTCGAGTTTTTGACTCTCGAGGAGGCGAGTTGTAGAATTTGGAATTATTATTTGCCTGCTGTCGTGGCATTTCTATGTGGAAATTAGTTAATTGATTATTTGCTTGAAAAACTCCCATTTCGATGCGATCAAAACTAAACTCGGTATTATTGAGTGACCACACCGTATAACTGAGGAACTTACCATCTCCAAGTCCGGCTCGAGTACATTCAACTACACTACCTGTGTGTATTGTATACAAAAAAAATGTAAACAAGCAACGCGTGACATATAAGTATAAGTGCGGCGCCTCGTGCATTTTTAATTCTCGCCGATACCTCAATGTAGTATGAACTTCAAGAGAGACTACAATAAAAATCTCGTACGAAAATTATCGTAGCTCACACATAGGAAGAGTCTATAATTGCTGGCTACGTTGCCGGGGATTTTTTTTTTTTTCAATTTTCCAATAGAGCGCTCAGTGCTCTCATTATGCAGGGTCACAGTTTGTCCACACACCTGCTCAAAGTCGCACTTTCACTAATGCATAGGTACAGCCTATTTATTATTCACCGTCATTATAATGAAATTCTATGCGCGTTTAGAAAACGTACACCCGTGAAAGTATCAATATTTACATAGACGGAGAGTTTAATTACCATGTACGAGACAACAATTTTTATAAAACGCAATGGCAAATGCCTCTGATACCGTACCGGTTCGCTTATTGCCACACTTTAAATATATGTAGATACGAGGTGCAATGCATTAATTCATAAATTTTCGCCTCATAGAAGTGCCGAGGAATTTCGAGAATTCGATATAACGAGATTCGTTATGGATAACTGGAAAATGAATTTTTTTTTAAATGATTTCGCATTCAATTCAAATGCGCTGACAATATCCCTCCTGGCCATATTATAATTGCAGCGCTTGGCGGAGATGGCACATTGTCCCGCGTGTCACGGTGAATAACATAGCCGTTGTTCTTTCTACACAGCAATCTAACCTTCGTTTTACCATTAAAGAATGAGAAAAATCCCCATTCCCATGAAGCCGAATGTTTTACGTAACCGCGTTCGGAAAGTTTTCAAACGGCGCCAGCTGTCTTTCAGAAGCGTATCCAGGCTCGGTCTGCGCAGTGCCACCGTCGCGCAGCATCGGCCGCCGGAATTGACCGACTCGTCGCTACGTGTTATACGAATTCACTTATTTGTGAACGAACGCAACGCTCCCGCTTCTGTTGTACCAGGCCAACGTAAGTATATACAAGTTCGTTCTCGCTGCTGCGCTGCGGCCGTGTCTATAATACAGAAGCTGAAACGTGGCAACGTCGCGTACTCAACGCAGCCATCAGGCATCTTTCACATAAGCGTCCGCCCGTTCGCGAACGCCGAGAGATTCGCATTGCGCGTCGCGAAGTTGTGTGGTGTGCCAGGAATACGAGAGCTTGTAGCGCGTCAAACGCGTCAACGGGACAGAGATAGAGGGATTTTTTTTTATATACACTTATATACAGCCGAGAGGTGGCCCCAGAGCCTCTCCCAGCGCCCGCTGCACTGGCGTCTCAACACTGACAAGCATTAAGAACGAGGGCGGTAAGAGCCACACCAACACATCATGTCGGAAGCGTCCGCGACGACGAGCAACGCCGTCGCCGACTCGGGTCTGCACGAACAACAGGCGATAGGCGCTGACGACGATGCCGTCAACGCGTCCACGTCCATCGACTATCTCGACCTATGCAGATTATGTCTGCAGAAGGACGCCGTCAACGTGCCCATATTCGAGGACGACGGCGACTCGAGGCAGATCTTCCTCAAGATCACCGCCACTTTGCCGGTCAAGGTGAGTTCGCAACGTTTTTTTTTTATTGTTGCTACGCGAAATCACGCACGCACGCGACCATTTTGGGCACCTATACACACACAATCCACACAGTTGTCTCGCTCGCAATCTTTGGCGTGGCTCTGCTCGTTTCACTCGATATATCTATCTCTCGCTACGATGATACGTTGTTCGTCTCCTTTACGCTGCCGCCGCCGCCACCACAGCCGCTGCTGTCATGGCTGTGCTTCGTCCAACTCCACCGATACGCGACTACCAAGTCAACTGCCAACTGTCGAATCAATTTGAATTATTGCATGACACCCATTACGATACGACGTTCAGCTTCACGTGCAATGTATCTCCCACAATGTAACACGAGAGACGCATTTGCCGACGTCGTTCATTAACTCGTAAACGAGTGGGCGCGTTTGTGTATACTATGTTTGGTCGCTGCTACCGTTGGATCGAGCCGCGAGCTAGTGATACGCTCGTGCGTTATCGCTCCGAACGCAGTAAAAGAAAAATAAAAAACAAAATACAACGAAACAAAAAAGTAACTGTTACGTTCTCTCGGCACTTGTCAAAAGTACAGTGAGACTGGGAAAAAAGCATAATTTTCTTCCGTCGAGTTACCGACTACGGACGCGCAATTTTCTCTTTGTTCGTTCCTTTCCTCGCTCGATCTAGCTCCGTCTCTCTCCCTTTGTCCCTTCGCGCGGAGCTCTACTGTATGCAACATCAGCAGAAACGGCAACGGCGTCGGGCACTGCTCCGTGCAGTGGAATGTGTACGCCAGTGGTCGAGCGGAATGCACATTCGCTTCGTTTCCTTTTCTTCTCGCGCCGAGGTTCATGCAGGGCGTCCTTTCTCTCTCTCTCTCTCTTCTCTTCTTTCCGTCTCTCTCTTTTTCTCTCTCTCAACCAGTTTTATGGCTCAAGCGTCTTCGCGCTGGGATTTTTTTCCGTAACCAGTTTTCTCTCTCCTTGCGAGCAAAGAGAATAATTCGATATTATGCGCTCGTTAAGTATGCACGTAATGCACTTGCAATTTCAGCTCGAGCCGGCGCACTCGCTCCGCTCGCGCCTTCGCAAAAGCCTTAATAATAAGCGACGACACTGAATTTATCATTCCTCTATGCGACCGCACTGCGCTTTTGCATAATTTATGAAATTTTTCAATGATTTCGAGTTTTTTTTAACATATTCGTTGACTTGTTTTTAGATAAGCGCCCAACATTATGTATCGCGTATTGCTTCACACAAGCACAACGAAAGTGTGTATTTACTCGCGCGCAATTTCGACACGATCGTGTGCGTGTGTGTGTGTGTTTCAGCGCGTGTGGAACGAAATAAAAAAATAATAGGGCGTCAAGGCTGTTTATGTAGAGACGGGACAGACGCACACACAAATACATACATGCATTCGCACATGCATGTATGTACGACGGGCTGCGGCGAGCAGCACAACACATCACATCGATTGCCAGAAGCGACGACATCGACCCGCGCGGCGCGTCGTCGTCGCCACCATTTTCGCAAGGCAGCAGCGACAGCACACAGCGGCGGCGGCAGCCGCCTAGCCTCGCCAATGCTCCGTCTTACTCACTCGGTTTACTATCTCTCTTTCCCTCCCTCTTTATGTGTGTGTATGTGTGTGTGCCCCGCGTGCATATGCGTGTGTATGCGAACGCACACACGCGCGAATTCATACATATACACATCTGCTGGTTTTATACCCCGACGTGCGCTATGTGCTGCTTGCGGCAGGCCACTATGCGCCGCTCTTGCTTGCTGCCCGGTTCTGCTGCTGCTGTCGTTATATGTAGGCTCGAATCATGTATTATGCACTCGGCTCGACAGAAAAGATCGTTATTCCCTGCAAATTTGCCCATGCTAAACTCTCTATCTCTCTCTTTCTCTCTCGGACAACTCCTATAATATGAACTACTGCCATGGCACGAGGGAAGGCTGTTGACCGATGGATTATTGATTATTTTCGAATTATCTACTCCAGACCTCGGGTGTATTTTTATCTTTGCCCGCTCGATGTTAATCGTGCGTCAATTGCCATTGCACTTACGACATTAAGCATTTATGTGTACTGCCCTCCGCACGCGTGTCATTTAATACTTTTGAAAGCATTAATCTGGAAAATTGCAGAGATCCACCGTTTTCGCTTCAATTTTTATGATGCAGCCTTATAATTTCTTTGACAAACTTTGATCACTGATAACACAAATATTAACCCTAATAATAAAAAACTAAGAAATCAATATCTGTATATTAATTTTAACTGCATTTAATTAATTTTTGAATGTATATCATTTGAATGATGTAAAAATTAAAAAAAATTATTTTGAATTAAATTGCAACTTTTGAAATACCCTTTTTATAACAATATCAATTACTTTTACAGATTTTCAAGGAAGATAAACTGCCGAAAAAAATTTGTGATGATTGTTTATATAAAGTAGAACTACTTTATCAATTTTGGAACCAGGCTGCAACTTCAGAAAAACAATTGTTGCAATGGCTAGGAGAAGTTGGTCTTGACGACAAACAAAATTATGAAGTCCTCGAAGAGGTAAATTGCATTAATTATTTAATTACAATACCTTTGTTTTCAAAACCAGTGAAATTCATATCAATTTATAATGTGTCAAATTTTTTTCAAGGATTTAATGAAACAAGATAAAGGCAACGACAATAGACTGAATACTAATATTATTCAAGTTTCTGATCAAAATAGTATAGAAATCAGTATGATAGACAATATATCACTCATAACAATACCAGCTGGAAGTGAACAGTTCACTACAGTTCCTATTGACGCCAGTGGTACTATTCAAACGGAGGCAATGCAAAGCTCCCATGACCAAAGTCAAATTGAAGAAGATAGGAGTGAAATGGGAGATATGTCAGATGATGGATGTGATAATGAAGGTATGCATCATTTGTTTCTTATTAAATTTAAATCCACGTTTTCTAAATGACATCATTGTAACTTAGGTTTACCTGTGAAAGAAGAGTCTGATGATCAAAACAATCAAACAAATATGGATCAAGCGTATGTGTCAATTGAAGCTGGACCATCTGGTCTTCAACATCAGAAAATTTCAGAAATATCTGAACTTACAATACAACAAGCAGCTGATGGTGATCCTAAAACTGGGTAAGTTTCAAATTCAATTTTCATATAAAAGAGTCAAAGTCAATGTTGTGGTACAAACAAACACATAGTTATTGAAATTTATTATCTAACAAAAACGTAAAATTGATGAATATCTTAATGAATTGTAGCTATTGATACTTTTCTGGCTTAAATAACCAAACAGTTTTTTAAAAATTTTGATATATTTTCATTTTTTACTGATTAGTTTTGCATTTTGTGCAAATTTGCACAAGGTAAGTGCACACACACACTAGACCACAACATGCTTTGACTCTAAGTATTCAGTAATTCGTTCATGAATAACACAATTGTTTCATAAAGTGACAAGTTTTCTTTCACTAAATTATTCAACTAATTTCTGACTTTTTCTAATGTTAAAAGCAAATTACTGGATACTTACTATTTTCTGTGTACACTTTAAGTAGCATGAATATGGTATACATATTAATGAGGAAATTTTATAAAAAAAACAATAAATTACTAACTTTTTTTAAAAGTTATTATTATTTGTCTTGGTATTAAAGAAATGTTTTACATATGTTGTTCATTAAAATGTATACCTGTTTATAACATGTTTACATCAACTGAAGGGTTTCATCTTTAAATTGAAAAAAATTATTTATTAATATTTAACTTGAATATAAAGTAAATTGTAATTAAAATGTACAAGAAATCTTTCTGTTGTCTATAAAATGTTTACATGTTTTCAATATAACATTCCCACGCTTACGTAAAGGCACTAATGCCGCACTTGACCAACATTGGTCCAAAGACATCACTGACGATCGATAGGTTTATAAAATAGCTATTTCTTAATTATTATAAGCTTTGAACGCGATGCGCTACTCATATAACTGTATAAAGCCATGATTAGGCTACATCCGTATATACAGTTTATGAAACTCCTGCATACTTACGTTAACCAACCAAAACTGTTTGAGTACTTGCTTTTAAACATCAATGATTGTTCTCTCTGACGTCAGGACTATTGATTTAACTTTTTTTAATGATAACAAATAGGGTTATGCATAGAAATTCTCAAGTTAGCATAAAACACAACCAACAAAATTAATATAATTCCAACAAACAAAATTACTTTCGTGCACATACTTTTCAAACGCGTGAGACGTTTTGTAACTCTGTCCACCTAAGTTAAAAGTGTTTATTCCAAACGGAATCGTAAAATAATAATAGAAGTTATGCAGCAGAAGACAGTGAAATGAAGAGTCAAGATGGAATTACATTGTAATTAAAAGGCGAGTATATCCTTCAATCATTTCATAATCTTAAGGTGTAAATCATCATATATTACCTCCCCATACATTACTTTCAATTCACCAACACCATTTATTTCTCACATGTGCGTAATCATCTTTAATCAGGTGGATTGAGTAATTAAATAGAGAATTTCAGTTTAAAAAATTGCTCATTCAAACCAAGTTGTTGAATTTTGTTTCCAATTTATTGTTTACTTATGCTTGTCTTGTCTCAAAGAACCATTGTTTTACTAGAGCAAGAGTTTTCAAGCATAAATGCACACATTTTATTCATTTCTATAATTTTGTTACACCTTTTTTGAAACTCTTATCGCGAGTGCAGTGAACATATACAAATGGTGGCGCACTAAGTGGAGTCTACATTTCAACTGGATTTATTCAACTTTGTCTGCAGTTAATAAGAAGATAAAATCCCATTATTAGTACTTACAAGGTGTGTATATTTTTAAAACTTATTTAAAAGGTTTATTTGATTGATCCTAATCTATTTCATAAATTCAAATTTTCTTGAAATATTCATTAAATCTATTGAGAAAAAACACAGTACAAGTACCTAATACAGAGTGTTCTTATGTAATTTGAACAAATTGTGAGGGTTTTTTAGCTTAATGATTTAGACTAGAATTAGACTGGTTTTTTTAACCTTTTCGAAGCACTTAGCACAGAACACAAGCAAATATACTTATGCAATGCTTTTCTTATGTATGCTTGATGTACAATTTGTGTGTTAATACCTAGTACTGTTTGTTACCAATCAAAAATTGCAACGATGTCATGCTTCATCAATTATTATATTTCATAAGTGTGAAATTTTAGGAAATGTACAATTTTTAACACTTTGCAATATTGGAATTGTGAGCTGAAAACTTTTGGCACATTTTATTAGGCAACCGATAAAGCAACATAGTTTGTAGTTAAACTGTAATCAAATTATCAGGTTTTATATTTTTTAATAATGGTTCTAGTAAGTACTTGTACTAATGAAAGACAAGTCAAATGATGATAGTTTTTTAGTTATGATTCAACATGATAAAGTATTAGTTGCAGTTTTTCAAAATTTGTTTGCAAGTTTGGAATAATGCAATTGCTAATCAAATAGTTCTTTATCGGTTTTCAACTTTTTTAAGATCAAGTCAAATTGAGTTCAAGCTTGTGTGAAACAGCACTATCCGTTTGCACAGTGGTCACCCATATTCAATCATTAGAGGAAAATAGTCTGTTGCTTTACAGAGATGAAACGTTTGGTGGGCTTTCTGGGATGCTGCGTCAAATTCTTTCTCCTACATCAGAAAGCGAAGAACTCGGTTACACAAGCATTCATGTCATGCAACAGCATCAACAGCAGCCTTCAAACTTATATAACACCCATGCATCTGTTCTCTCTTCAAATTTACAAATGCCACCACCTCAGACTCTTAATCAGCATCATTTAGTAATGCAAGATCAACTTTCACAACAGGCTGGATACCAAGACCAAGTTCAAATCTTGACAGAAACTCATATTTGTTTGAATTGCGGTACCAAATTGACTTATACCATTCAAACAGCTCACCCAGATGAGCAGCTCATGGATGTTGGAGAGGCACAATTGATGAGGTTTACTTGTCACGCATGCTCCAGGTCGTTTGTTGCCCAAAGCCACATTAAACTTGACAATGACCAGCAACAAATTCAGCAACAACAACCGTTAGTTCATGTGTCACCTAGAATACAGAGCCCAATAAATCCAGGTAGTCCAAACCAAATGGCTTATCAACAACAGCCACAACAGCAACAATTACAACAACAACAACCACCACCACCACCACAACAACAACAACAGCAACAGAGCAGTGGTATGCCTCTCCAAAATATGGCTGTTACCGTTCAACAGCAGCAAAACAAGAACTTTAGCTGCGATCGTTGCCAAGCGACTTTTCGTTATCGAACTCTGCTGGAGAAGCACAAAAAAATGCACGAGATGGCCGCGGGCCAAGACAAGCCGTACTCTTGTCCGCGCTGCTTCATGAGATTCGAAACGAGAAATCTGTACAATCATCATGCCAAAACTCACAAGCCCGTCATAACGCAGTCGGAAAAGGCGGCCGGTCAGTCGGGCGCGGGTGGCTCGAAGGACAACAACGTCGCGCTGCTCTACAACAAAGCCAACAACACGTACAGCTGCGAGACTTGCGCCAAAGAGTTTCCCACCGTGGAGGCGCTCACCTCGCACAAGTCCGTGCACAGGTCGAGGCCGCTGATATGCGACGTCTGCGGCAAGGGATTCACCCACAGGAAGTATTACGTGGTGCACCAGCGGATACACACGGGCGAGAGGCCCTACCTGTGCGCCATGTGCGGCAAGTCGTTCACTCAGGCCTCGACTCTGACGGTGCACAGGCGCTATCACACGGGCGAGCGGCCCTACACGTGCACCCTGTGCGGCAAGGGTTTCGTCACTCGCACCATCATGCTCAATCACATGAAAAAGCATTGAGCGAACGAAACGAAAAAGCGCCCGTATACTTGGTCACACGCGTTGCTTAGGACAAAAATGCCCGGCTGCTCTTTCTCGGCTTTGCGGTTTGATGCGTTGATACTATCCAAGTGCCACATAATAAAAATACTAAGCGATACAGTGTTTTCATGCGCAGCTTAAACTCGTCAAAATTTTAATCTAATTTTTATTGCATAATAACTAAACGATTGATGAACGCGCGATTGTAAGATGCGCGACGTAATAACTGAAATAGTGGATAAGTTAAATTGACTAGTGAAAATATTTTTTCACTCGTAGGTCTTAAGAACTGGTTGAACGAAGCGAAACTAGTTGTAGGCGTAGTGCACAATTATTGTTCTAAAAATTATTGACCGTGATACCTGAAAAAAGAATTAGAATTGCCAAAGTATAAAATTAAAAAGAAATTGAATTTTATGTTTAAAATTCTCTTTGCGCTGTCAAGTGTTTGAAGAATCACTGTGATAATGATGTGTACCACCGTGCTTACGTGGGCCATGACTTCGTCAAAAATCTCGTATACGTACGAAAGCCAAAGAAATTTGCTAATAACATTCGACCAATAAAAATAAAATAGAAAGAGAAACTGATATTTAAAAAACAATTCTTGGGGTGCCTTTCATTAATAATTAAAGCAATCAGTGATACATCTAGCTGTTATATATTATTATATTATAGTACTAAAACTTAAAACAGTCAAGTGCCATTCAAATTTTCAAAATATTTACAATTGCATTATTCAATCTACGAGCATCAATTAAATTTTTAAAAAGTTTCAAAGCAATCGTCGAATGATCAAAGCCGATAGACGCGTTGAAATTATTTAGAATCACCGTTAGGTCTATTGTGACTATTAAAAAGCAATTGAAAGTTTTTTCGTCAAATATTTTATTTATAACAATTATATTATTAAATAAATTCGACTTTGAAGTATTGATGGGGGCTAGTCGTAGTTTATATGCTTTTAAGCTTCGTTAGAAAATCTTCGAATTGTAACTCAAGATATTTTTATTTTTGCTCTATAAGTAGTCGACTTGAGTTTTTAATTTAGCTGTACTAACTTAAAGATTAATTCTATGCAATATGTATAACGAACTAAATGTATAAAAATAAATCGATAACAGATTTTATCCTAATAACACAATATTTTGTACAAAATGCAATTTTTTTTCAATCTTGTGATCGTCAATTTAAAAATACAGCTTTGTCTTTATTATTGATTTTACTCATCATTATGCTCATAATAGGTGTTATTATATAATTTCTCATTAGTGCCTTATCGTTTATTTTTCTCTAATTATTTCATCACCCCGTCAGTGTACATAAATAGCAGGTAGGTCAAAAATATAAAATTATTAAAAGTTCAACAGTCCATTGTTCTCGATAGCCATGTAGTCAATCAAAAAAGATATACTCAAAAAGCTGACGTCAGACAATTCAATTTGTTTCAGTGCAGGTGCGTTAACGATCGACGCAGACGAGCGATCATAGTTTAGAGCAAACGAAAAAATAACAGTAACAACATTGAATTCGCGCGGAGTAATAGTCCCAAGACTCTCTTCTCTCTCTCTTTCTCTTTCTTTCTCACGATTCAACTAACCCCTTCTATAAAACATGTCCGGACAGACAGAGGGCTAGCCGGGCCCTCTGCAAAAGCACCGCAAGATCTCGACTCACTGCAGCCTTTATTGTGTCTCATTGCAGATTCGTCTTAACGAAGTTTCAAGCCGCCATCATTCAAGACATCCCATCATCATCATCATCACCACCACCTTACCACCAATACCTACTCTTACCCACGACGAGCGGCGATAAAGCTCTGGACGATTACCACCAGCACCAGCATCAACAGCAACACGTCCAATGCACACTATGCGGCGAAGCGTTCGTTGACGAAGTACTGCTCGAGTACCACTTGAAGGCTCACGACGAGCACGAGACCCTGACGAGCGTGACCCTGCTCAGCTGCGACAAATGCGATAGAAGCTTCCACGATCAGGACAGCTACGACAAGCATCATCTGCAGGAGCACGAGCTGGTGATCGACGACGCGACGGCAGTGGCGGTGCCCACGACGACGGTCGAGTACAAGTACAGTTGCGAGCAGTGCTCGGCGCGCTTCACGCAGCGCCACCAGTTCGACGAGCACGTCTGCAACACGAGTAGCTTCCGCTGCGAGATTTGCCACGCCACTTTCCGCTACAGGCAGGGCCTGAGGCTGCACGCCAAGCTCCACGAGCCCGACTACGTGGCGCCCCTGAAGAAGCACTGCTGCTCGATCTGCGGCAAGCGCTTCTGTCGTCGTCAGGTAATGCTCATCCACATGAAGACCCACGTGGTCGACAACAACGACGGCGCTGCTGGCGGTGGCAACGGCGGTAACACCGCGACCTCCTCCTCGGCGCAGCAGCAGCAGCAGCCACAGCAGCTCAACGAGTTCATCTGCCACGTGTGCGGCAAGTCGGTCTCGAGCAAGACCTACCTCAACGTGCACGTGCGCAAGCACACGGGCGAAAAGCCCCACGTCTGCGAGCACTGCGGCAAGGGCTTCATATCGCAGAATTACCTGAGCGTGCACAGGCGAATACACACGGGCGAGCGGCCGCACAAGTGTCCGCACTGCGACAAGCGCTTCACCCAGCGCACCACCCTGGTCGTGCACACGCGCAGCCACACCGGCGACAAGCCCTACTCGTGCAGCCAGTGCGACAAGAGCTTCGCCTCCAAGACCATGCTCAACTCGCACTTCAAGATGCACGCCAAACAGTTGCGAGAGGTCCCGGCGGTCGCTCGCTGATATTCCTAGGACAAATTATAATAATAATTATTTCACAAATTGAGCGAGTACACTAATGGATAAGTCGTGCTATGTACTAAGACATTTTTTCATGTAAAGTGAGATTGTATAAGAAACTACTACTCCGACAAGTGCGCTTTTTCACTCGTTGTCATGTATCGAGATACAAATGAGCTTGTGATATTCCTTTAGATACTTTCCCATTTGATCGATATAAAAGCAAATCGTAACCGAAGAATCAGTTTGAGAATTTTATTAGACATCGCAGTTTTTTGTACAAAAATAATCGAGGAAAACTATAATTTATTTTTCAAACGTGTACCAATAACTTTTTTCCAATTTTCAAACGAAGACTGACTTCTTTTAAACACAAGAGTAATCGAATTGCAACACTTTTATATTTTCACTCATCGAAACAATAGAGTGATATGATTCTTAGCCTGCAGTAATTGCCTTAAACAAGTGCACGGTTGTGCGTGAATCTTGAAATGCTTCGATAGCTTAGTAGCAATTAGCGTAGAGTAACATATTTGTAAGGATCTCATAGTATTTTAAGAGTGATATTTATCGCCTTAAGTGCAATCTTGTCAGCAGATGACAATATAGTGGCCTCTACGAATAAATAGACAAAATAATAGCGTTCAAGGGATTGTTAATTCCTCCAATCGAGCGTTAAATTTTAAGTTTAAATTAGTATCAACTCATAAAGATTCAACTCGTTTGAATTTAATTTTCTACATTCTATTGACACTTGCAATGTGTTGAACTTTTCCTGTAATAAAAACAAAGTTGCAAATAACTTAAATCAGTAATTTCGTCCATTAAAGCTGCGTACATTAGCGTGTAAAAATAAATTAATTTAATTCCAACAAAAGAATTAACAATTTCTAGGGCTTGAAAAAAATAAATTCGTGCCTTAGTTCCTGATGGCTTTGAATCGATGTTCAATGCATTAAAAACATTTGTGCCTCGTGGCAATTTACAGTATTTACAGCGTATTTCATATATTTATCTATTTTTAAAGTCTGTCTTAAATCGATATATTTACTCTTATAGTTGACAATGAGCATCAATGATTAAGCCGAAATTGTAATTATAATTTAACTTTACGTACATCACTATAATTTCTTACATTATTGTCAGAGTGCTCCGAAGGTTCTGTAAGCACAGTTTGTGATTTAGGTGATAGTAAACGAATTTTGAGAGTTTTAACGAGTATTTTTCATTGATAAGTAGTTTTCCGATACATTCGACGAAATATTTTTGTTTCTATGAGAGCGTGCAATATATTTTATGCGGATTTATGTCAGCGTGGATAATTATTCCACGCCCTTCGGTCAATGCTTTCAGTATTGTAGTTTTGCATACCATACATTTTTTAATAAACGATTAATTGAAACATATTCTTTGAGGTTTCTTTATTAACCCAAAGTGTATAATATTATTGAAGCATTAAAATTGTCTTGAAATACGAAGCCTTAATTTTTCCAATTAAATGAAAAAAAAAAATATCACTCCTAATTATTATTCCTGACTCTGTGCAGAACAATCATAGCATTGAATCAAAAGTTAAAGTCCCAAAACGCAAAAAAAAGAGTAATCGATCAATCGTCCAGTGAATCGCGCGCAAGCAAACTTAATTAATGGTAATTAAAAGAAAATCCACTCATTGCTTGATTGTCTGTGCAGAGTCGTCTTGGACCACGAGTACAAACTGAAGGAAGAAAAAATGGAATTTTTGGAAGTTCACGAGTACGAAGAACTCGTCGAGCCAGCCGGAGGAGGGGTCGAAATGACGTTGGCCGTCCAACAAGACGAAACGGTAGAAGCGCTCGAAAAGAATCTGGAATACGGAGAGCAGCTGCAGGATCAAAACTGCATATCGTCGTTTTCCGCGGTGGAGGACGAGCTCGAGGAGGACGAGGAAAAAGTCGAAGGTCTGCCCGACGACATCCACATTCAAGAATACGAAGACGTGGATGCTGGACCAATGAAAGCGTCGGGTAACAACTTGTTCTTCGGCATCACGGAGCCAGAGAGTCCCGAAGCTCAAAACATGGAGAACGAAGACGAGCTCGACTACGAGAACAATTCCAACTCGGCAAACGGTCACAGCAGATCCGAGCCGATTCGCAGCATACTCGTGAAGCTCGACTCGGGAGTGATCAAGCGACTGTACAGGTGCAATCACTGCGACCAGGTGTTCGACAGCGTGCGACACTGCGTGAAACACATGACGACGAGCCACCAGACGAATCGAAAGTACCGAGTCGCCTATCGCTGCAAGACCTGCGGCAAGCTCTTCCGCACCAAGTACGGCTGCGAGAATCACATACAGGGTAAGCACAAGAACCGAACGATCCGCTGCCGTTACTGCGACTTCGAGACGTCGAGCGTCACCTACATCAAGAAGCACGAGCGCAACCACCTGGACGACTTCGAGATCAGGTGCGACCTGTGCAACAAGGGCTTCGCCTCGAAGACCGTGCTGGAGCGCCACATGATCAGCCACACCGGCGAGAAGCCCTTCGTCTGCGAGAAGTGCAACGCCAGCTACGCGGACAAGCGCAGCCTGACCCTGCACATGACGGTGCACGACCCCGAGGGCCGGCCCAAGCGCTACACCTGCGACCAGTGCGACTACTCGAGCTTCTGGAAGAACGCCGTCAAGACCCACATGAAGGTGCACACGGGCGCCAAGGTCATCTGCGACGAGTGCGGCCAGGCGGTGGCCAGCAACTACTACCTCAAGATACACAAGAGGATACACAGCGACGAGAAGCCCTTCACCTGCGACGTCTGCAAGAAGGGCTTTCGTCAGATGAAGAATTTGGTCGTGCACCGGCGCACCCACACCAAAGTCAAGCCTTACAAGTGTCACGCCTGCGACAAGAGCTTCTCCCAGAACGTCTGGCTGAAGAAGCACAAGTGTCGAAGCAATTCGGCGGCCGAGAACCACCATCACGTCGAGATCGGCGCTGGCGGCAACGAGGCGGAAATGGCCGAGGTCGACATGGACCCCGACAACATCGAGTCGATCGGTGACAATTTTCAGTAAAATTATAGCAGCACTGTGCATTTGTTAGAAGTCACGACGAGCTGAATAGAGAGCGGTTAATTAAAAGACACTTTTGTGAATAAATTATGAGTTAAGTGATCTGTAATATTTTATAAATAGTGCGATTTTCTACGACGACGATTTTGTCAAGCATTAAATTTTGTAATGAAACAACTTTGTCAACGATCGTGCAAACCACGAATAGCATTTTGAATAATAGTATACAATTATTTGATAGTGTTTTCCAGATGAAGCTTGTTTACTTGAATCGAATAAATTCACACTTTAGAAGTTTTGTACTACAACCCGAGTCCTACATTCAATCCACACCGTCCCAATACACAAAATTTATAGAGCAATGGAAAAAAAAAAATAAAACAATTTTTTACTCAACACTGACGTTAGCATGAATCATAAAACTCGACTTCTCTCTTTCTGTAGACTGGTGAAAAATGAAAGAAAAAACACGCATATCTCTCTCTCTCTCTCTCTCTTTGTATAAATCTTCATGCATAAAACTTTCTCCCTTCTGACCCCATTGCCTTTGTAATTTTTCTCTGCGCTTTCTGAGCGACAGATACAGCGAGAAGGACGCAAAAGACTCAGCTGGCAATTTCTGATTTTTCTTTTGCAGGCGAGAAAAGTCTGCCAAGTCCACCGAGGTCGGCAGGCAAAAGCCAAAGCAGCGCGGCCGGTGGACCGAGGCCGGCATGCAGGCCGCCGTCTCGGCGATACTCGCGAAAAAAATGACGCTGCGCAAGGCCTCGTTGTACTTCGCCGTGCCGAAGAGCACCCTGGCCTCGCGCATGAAGTCCATCCAGGCCGGCGAGCAGGTGGACTTGGCCCCGCAGATAGGTAGCTTTCAGAAGGCCCTGTGCCAGAGACTAGAGTCGCAATTGATCGCGCGTCTGAAAGAGCAGGAGGCGCGCTTTTTGCCGCTGCACAAGCGCGAGTTCCTCAAGCTGGCCTACGATCTGGCCGAGCACCTGCAGCTGCCCCACAAGTTCAACAGGTCCAACAAGACGGCGGGCAAAAAGTTTTACTACGACTTTACCCTGCGCCACCCGGAGCTCACCGTGATAGCCGACCCGAGCCTGACCAGTCCCAAGACCTCGGCGCCGATCAGCAAGACGCAGGTCGATCAGTTTTTCAAGGTCTACCAGGAGCTCGTGGACAGGCTGGGCCTGAGCCCGGGCCAGATACACAGCTGCGAGGAGACGAGCGTGCTGATACATCACCGCGACATCAGGCGCAACGTGAACGTGTGCAAGCTGACGCCGAGCGAGCGGGGCACGGTGCTGCTGAGCGTGAACGCGGCGGGCGACTGTTTCGCGCCGCCCCTCTTCGTGTTCCCGGGCCAGGAGCCGCTCGACGAGTCCTACCGGCGCAACAGTCCCCTCGGCAGCGTGTTCAGCGTCGAGGAGAGCGGCTGCGTCAGCACCGAGTCCTTCCTCGAGTACTTGCGGGTGCTGGTGGAGCTGCAGGCGCCGAGCGAGCAGCGGCCCCTGCTGCTGCTCGTCAACGCGCGACCCTACCACAACGACCTCAAGGTCATTCACTTCGCCGAGCTGCACCACGTGCACCTGCTCGGTCTGCCCCAGCACAGCGCCCACATACTGCACCCCCTCGAGCGGGCCCTCATGCAGACCTTCGGCGCGGCCTACATCGAGGCCTGCAAGAAGTGGATCAAGTGCTGCCAGCCGGCCCAGCTCGGCCCGCGGGACGTGGCCGGCCTGGTCAACGAGGCCTACTGCTCGATATTCCGCAAGGATCTGGCCCAGTACGCCTTTCGCTGCACCGGCTTGTGGCCGATCAATCCGCACGCCATCGTCGGCCTGGATTACGGCGACGACATGGACGACGTGTTCGACGACGGCATCGCGTCCGCGGCCCCGGCCAGCAGCGACGATCTCATGTCGATACCGACGGTCGACGTCGCTCAGCAGCAGGAGCATCCGCAGCAGCAGCAACAGCTGCCTCCCGAGAGAACGAGCTGCTGCAGCACGACTACCTCGACGACGCCGAGCACCACCGCGACTACGCCGACGAGCCCGACCCTCTCGGATCTCTTCAGATCGTCCACGTCGTCGTTGCAGTCGTACTTGCCGTCCGCTTCGGTGATACGTCGAGTCGACGAGGCGGCCAACGAGGCCTCGACCTCGTCGCTCGACGACTTCGTTCTCAAAGCCGTCGAGTCCGTTGCCGGCTTCTCCGTCATCAGGAGGATACACAGCGGCGAGGAGAGCAACTTCGACGTTAACATTTAATTACTTAATTGCCTCGTGATATTACCCCCTGTCTTTATCGAATGCGTGCAATATGCGAAATCATTGTTTTAGATGAGAAAATTTTATCCAATAGAGATCTCTATATAGTACAAGTGTTGATGATACTCAAGTCAAATTTGCCATATTTTAATTATAGTTTCAAACTCTTGTGGTGCAGTTTTATCTCGTTGTTCTCAAAATGTACATAATTTACAATTTATATTATATATTTATTAAATTGATTATATTTATTATATAAATGAAAAAGTAGAGCTATGGTGTATTTCATCATAGATTTTATTTATCTACAACTTACGATCTGAATGTAATGAATAGAAGAGAATAAAAAGTATTGAAGTTTTAAAAATCAATCAATTTTTTGCTGTCGACGTTAGATACCCTGAACTTACTAAGCTCGCGTTCATTGACACAAAGATCCAGAATTATTATCCGACAAATACTTGGTACCTCAATTCGATAATATACGTGACTCGGTGACTAGCGTGGCTAATTTCTCGTTTTATTTTTTAATATTTCAGACGAGATTCAAAACGGCCAATTGGATTAAAACCTAGAACCCGCTCAACCAAAAGAATGATAATAAATATACATGGTCAAAAAGTCGAAGAGAAGGGGCTTATCCCGCGAAATCGAGTCAATAAATTTTTGGATAAAAGCGGTGGCCAATCAATCGTGCGTCGCACCGTTAAGACCGAGGTTGAAAAATCCAAACCAGCGAAAAACGACGCAACTCCTCGATTGATAGAGAACGTTCCGGAAATGATAAAAAATTACGATAACGGCCCCCCATACGAGTGCGATTCGTGCGACGACACGTACGAAGACAAAAAGAACTTGACCATTCACAAGATGGAGAGATCGATCGTGCGCGCGAGAGAGCAATTCAAAACGAGAAACTCGCACGTCTGCAGCGTCTGCGGCTCCGCGTTCAAGACGAGCTCGGAGCTGGTGGCGCATTACGAGTACTGTCGATCGTGCCACCAGACAAGAGCCCAGCAGCTGTGGTCGGTCGTCTGCGAGATATGCGATCGCAAGTTCAAAGACTTAAAGTCGCAAAAGACGCACAAGGCCTGGTCGCACTCGGTCGACATTCTCTGCCCGCTGTGCGACGAGCGATTGAGCTCACCCAAGGAGCTGTTGGCTCATCAAACGAGCGTTCACGCGAAAGAGTCGAGGCACTCGTGTAAGTATTGCGGCAAAAGCTTCGACGAGTGTCTGGCGCTCGAGGCTCACGTAGCCCGTCACGAGGGTGAAAATGGCCCGGTGTCCTGCTCGTATTGCGATAAGATTTTCAGGCACGAGCATTACCTCAAGAGGCACGTGGAATCCGTACACCAAGATTCAGGAAAGATGGTTGTCCTCGAAACGAGTAATTTAAGAGAAAAGAACAAAGAAATTAAAATGTACAAGTGCGAGCATTGCGAGTACGAGACGAAAACGAGGAGATTTTTCCTCCTGCATGCTGACAAGCATAATGCACCCGAAAGAAAAGAATGCGAACTTTGTGGAAAAAAATTGCGACCCAAATATTTTAATATACATATGAGAATTCACATGGACGATTTCAAGTGCGATAAATGCGGACAAATCGTCAACGGAAAGAGGAAACTTGTCCAGCATATGGCTATGCACGGCGTTGACCAGACAGTCGTGCTAAGCGCAGTCGGTTCGGAAATATTCTCGATACGTAGTCGGGCTGATGTTGCCGAACCACCTCGAAAGATCCAAAGGGTTGTAAAAGACGAAAACTCCTTGAAAATTCCCGAAGAGCATAATTACTCTCATCGACTCGGTTCTGAAAATCTCTCGGTTTCTGGAGAGATTCAATGCGCTACCATAGGTGGTCAAGTGAAATATATAAAAAATAATTTACTAATGAATAATTCGTTATTATCTGGCTGAGAACTTGAAACTCGAGCGAACGAATGTCTCGAAGTCAAACTGAAAGTACAATTGCTGTTAAATACTTTTGTAAGTTAAAGTTAAAAATTGTAAAGTTATTATTAATGTTCGTTTGTATTGAAACATGTGACTTACTCGGTGTAGATAAATAATTAACTAACACGAACACGCTCATACAGACTTTACAATTATAAAACATTTCTAAGTGTTATCAAATTTTAGTAAATGTCGATTAACCCTCAATTAATTATCATTTTGTTCGAGTTGGTGTTTTAACTTGTTTTAATAATGTTCATAATTGCAAGTCGAATTGTTAAAAATACCCTGCCACTGAGAGAACAAGTACGGCTCACACGCTGATCATTGCTTTGATTGATGGCCTTATATACTAAAACCAACGTTCGCATGTTGAATGATGATTAACCAAATTTAACTTTTAGAAATAAATTATCATCTACAACATTATCTCTTCTGGGCTTCAATATTCTTGAATCATTTGAAAATTTATTTACAAAAATAAACCGCATGCCTTGAAATGAAAACAAAAAAGAACTGACTCTCATCATTGTGACTTAACATCAACATCTCCATCGTCATCGCATTTGCATATTCTCTCGTTCGGCAATGCAAAAGCCTCTTCTCCGCTGCAGCGCTTCCGACTCTGTGCCTCTGGTCTCTTCTGTGCGTCGTGCTTTTGTGAATCATTAGTTCGTGTTGCAGCAGCAGCAGCAGAGCGAGCGCTCGTTTAACGAAGCCGAAGGCCAAGTCGAGTCGAGCGCCTCGGCGAACCGTGGCCGAGCGACAAGATCAGCGCAAGTACACGCCCTCGGCGCCTCGGCGACGCCGCCACGAGTGTCGCTTCTGCTCGAAGCTGTACGCCACGCAGTCCCAGCTCGCCTTGCACGTGCGCAGCCACACCAATCAGAGCTTCGTGTGCAACTTTTGCGGCGAGCCCCAGCTGTCCGCGGACACCCTCAACACCCACCTCGGCCGCTATCACCGGGAGGCCAGCGTCAGCTGTCAAATATGCAAGCGCTTCTTCGCCAGCCAGCGCAGTCTCACGCTGCACTCGCGCTGCCACGCCAACGAAGACAAGCGCAAGCACGTCTGTCTGGTCTGCGACAAGAGCTTCAGCAGCCACGCCTATCTGAAGACCCACGCGAAGCAGCACGCCCTCGCGCCCAAGCAGCTGGCGCCCAAGAAGACCTACAACTGCGCCGACTGCGACTTCTCCACGGTGTACAGCAGCAATCTGCAGAAGCACGTGGCCACGCACACGGGCGAGAACAAGTCCATGTGCCACGTGTGCGGCAAGTGGGTGGTGCGCTCCTACATGCCCGTCCACGTGCGCATCCACTCGAGCGAGAAGCCCCACCTCTGCGACATCTGCGGCAAGCGCTTCAGCGTGCTCAAGTACCTGCTGGCGCACGAGCGCATGCACACCGGCGACAAGCCCTACCGCTGCCAGATCTGCAACAAGCGCTTCTCCCAGGAGACGCCCCTCAAGATGCACATCAAGCTGCATCAGCGCAAGCTAAGAATTAATAATGACGAGAGCGACGATGACGACGCCGACGACGATTTCGATGACGATGACTCTTAAGCGTCAGCTACATAGCAATTGCGATTTACAGTCAGAAAATTATACCAAAAAATAATCTATTACCGGAAGGCTTCTTTTTGAGATCTGTTATTTTTTAAGTATTCTTGTTTACACGTTGTTCAACGCATTCCTTGATATAATTTATGCATTTTGTTCCGATTAAGGGTTGTGAAACGCCTGCAATAGGCTTCCTAATGGTTAATAGTTACTCTTTACATTTTATGTTAACGTAAACGTGTTCAATACTCAAAAGTTACTATGAATTTCTAATGACGGATTTTTCCGTCTATGCTCACATGATTGTGAATTTTTTTCGCTTTTTATTTTTACTGTGTTACTTTTTATTCATTGTTCATTTAATTATTTATTCAAGTTACTATAAATAAAATGGTTACATAATAATTTTGGTTGAATAGATCAATTATTACTTTCATGTATTTTATTTACTTTCATTTTTTTGCGTTCAAGGTAAGTTCAGTTAATTTTTTGTTGCGATTTTGACTTTCTGTTTTTTAATTCAAGTTTTTTTTATGAAAAACTTATTTTCAATTGGACAAAGTTGAAAAAGAATTCAATATTTTTATCAAACTGATTCTTTTGCATTTCTCGATTAATTAATGATAAAAGAAAAGAATAATTAACTAATAACTAAATTTTCAATTTCTGCGACTACTTTATTATTAAATCTCTCAATCAATCTAACTTTCCATTAACAGAAGTCTTCAATTTGCAGGTTTCTTGCAAACGAAGATATTATGAATAATTTCGAATTAATTGAAAGTGATTTTGAGGAATACGATGATAACTTGATACAACCGCACAAACGAAGTAGTGTAACTTTTGATAATGACCAAGAGGAGTTTGGAGAATTAGTTTCCACTCAAGATCATACGAACGATGATGAATTTTTCGTTATTAAAATTTACGATAATACTTATGAGATCGAGGACAATAACGTTGATTTTACTATGATGAATCGGAAAGAGGAGAAAAATGATATGGTCGAAGTCGCTGAATCAATAGCTACGAGCGAGCAGTTATCAGACACCGACAAAACAAAGAAGACGAAAAATGGTTAGCAATTTTTCATTATTTCTTTCTCGACAAATAGATCCTATCGAACAGTTACAAAATTATACTTGAAAAATCGATGGGATCTATTTGGTCGAATGTTGCCCGAACCCTAGCCGATGCATGAACAGCAAGCCCCCCGTACAGACTCAAAAAATTAGCAAAGCTTCCCTCTAATTGTGTGTCCTATCCAGGCTTCGTGTGCGACATCTGCTCCCAGCGCTTCAACAGCAAAGTCCTGCTCGGCAGTCACCTGGTGTCGCACAGCGACGCGCGACCCCACGCCTGCGAGCACTGCGGCAAGGCGTTCAAGCGCCGCAACACCCTGGCGGTGCACCGGCGCTCGCACACGTCGGCGCGCGAGCACCGCTGCGACGAGTGCGGCGCCTCGTTCGCGCGCAAGCAGCAGCTGGCCTACCACGAGGCGCGCCACGCTAAGCGCTACAGCCTCCACTGCGAGGTCTGCCGCAAGGGCTTCTACACGAGGTACGACCTGGCCAGTCACATGAACAGCCGGCACCACGCGAACGAGCACGAGTGCCCGAGCTGCGGCAAGTTCTTCCCGAACGCGCACAGTCTGCAGCGCCACGCGCGCCTCCACGACGAGGCGGCCCAGCTGCGCTGCGACCTGTGCGATCGGCGATTCGCCTACGAGAGCACCCTGGCGCTGCACCGGCTCGAGCACACGGGCGAGCAGCTGCGCAACCAGTGCCACCGCTGCGGCAAGCGGTTCCGCTACAGGGGATCGCTCACGCAGCACCTCAAGCTCCACGACGGCGAGAAGAACGTCGTCTGCGAGGTCTGCCAGCGGCGCTTCTACAAGCTCTCGACCCTGGTCATGCACATGAGGACCCACACGGGCGAGAAGCCCTACTCGTGCAAAGACTGCGGCAAGGCTTACACGCAGCACTCGTCGCTGGTCATACACAAGAGATCTCACACCGGGGAGAAGCCTTACTCCTGCGACATATGCGCCAAAGCCTACGCTTCCAGAGGCATGCTGACCGCCCACAGGAAGACGCACGGCAACGCCGAGCGAAAGAGGAAGAAGAAGAAGAAAAGTAACAAGTCCAATAAGCGGAACAAGTCCGCGAGGGATTAGCTCGCGTATTTTGTTTGTCGATCTCATAGGTTTAAATATGTTACACACGATAAAATCGCCTTATGGAATAAATTCACTTGAGTCACGGCGCAGATTAGTCTATAAAATGTTACACCAGTATCGATGTTTTGTTAGATAATTTTAGAAATGATTTTTAGATCATTTTTTTTTATAAATCAATAACCGCAGGTTTACTGTGGCTGATTTTTTACAAGTTTTAGTTCGCGATAAGTATTATTTACTTTATGTGGTGCTTTTAAAATGCACAATACAATTGCTTATAGACTAGTTTTAATGATTTTTGTCAGTTTTTTTACAACATTTCAGTTCCTTGCAATGCTTCGAGCACTAGTCAATACTTAACAGTATTATATACGTTATCCTTAGTATCGGTTTCGTGTTTATATTTAATTTAATTAAAATGTTTAGGAATAATTTGTGATAGTATACATGTCCTACTTAAGTTATCTTTGATTATCAGTTTTACGTCAATTTTTCATGTCGTCGATGTTGTTAATACATATTTTACCAAAACTATATATGGTATGTTGAAACTATTCGAAATGTATAAAAGTACATAAAATAAAAGATTCTATTTGCATCTTATCTCATGCCTCTTCTCTGTTCTTCTAAGTAGCTCTAACCACAGCAAAATCTTTGTTTATCATTCTAATTACTTCCTATTAAGCTAATAATAGAGAAATTGCCCTTAATCCGTTAGTACCTCTTTGCTTTGACTTTTCTTTACTTCTTCAATTTACTGACTCCGAGCTTATTAACTTATTTTCGTTTCAATTGAGTAAACAATCAGTTGCGAAACGCAGCGTAAAGTAACAATTAACGACGGAACGTAAGAGCATTGACGTTTGAAATTCAGGCAAGACTGTTTCACGTTTCAGGCACTCGAATCGACCTCTGCCGCTTCTTCTGCCGATCAAGTCCGAATTTGAGCCTGTCGTAACGAAGAAAAAGCAACAAATGCAGAGAATCGAGAAGACTCAAATCCCACCTACTGCGGAAATAGAACAAAAATTTTTGCCCGAAAAACACCATAAAATTGTCGATGAATTATCCGTGGTTATCGATCGATTGGATAGTCAGGACATTAAATCGCATCGCGAACGACTTCGACGCGGCAAAAACGTCCGCAGCGAGCCTGCGTCGTATTCCTGCTTACCCTGCTCTAAGAGCTTCAAAAGTCTCTCGGGCTTCGAGCTTCATTGCGAGACAGCTGCGCACCAGAGAAAAACCGCCAAAAAGCGTTACGATTGCGCTTACTGTAAAAAAAGATTTTCAAACACCAAAGCCATTATCAAACATCTCGAAAAATGCATGGTACGCCTCGACAAAAAGTTCCCTTGCGACAAGTGCAACAAAGTGTTCTCGGCCTATCAAAATCTCTACAAGCACAAAAAGTGCCACTTGAAGCCCGATCTGAACTGCAAACACTGCTCGCAAAAATTTCGCCGCAAGTGCGACTTGGTGCGCCACGAGAAGACTCACTTCTTGACGCCGCTGCCTTGCAGCGAGTGCGACTACGAAACGACCGACCCGCGCCACTTGACGCTGCACGAGACGACGCACAAAAAGTCCGAGAGCGGCGGCAGCGGCGGCGATTCGCAGAAGCCGTCCGTCTTCGTCTGCGAGGAGTGCGGCAAACCGTTTCATAAGGCCACGGATCTGCAGCAGCACTACAACATCCACACGGGCGACAAGCCCTACGTCTGCGAGTACTGCCAGAAGGCCTTCTTTCTGCGCCGGCAGATGACCTCGCACGTGCGCCAGGTGCATCCGGAGAAGAAGCTGCCCAAGGATCACAGCACGACCTGCGACTTTTGCGGCAAAGTCCTGGCCTCGAAGCGATCGCTCATACGCCATCGGGCCAGTCACAATCCGACCAAGCTCTACCTATGCGACTTCTGCGGCAAGAGCCTCAGCAACTCGGACCACCTGAAGAAGCATCGCAGGATCCACACGGGCGAGAAGCCCTACGTCTGCGACATCTGCGGCAAGGGCTTCACCGACTCGGAAAACATGCGCATGCATCGGCGCATACACACGGGCGAAAAGCCCTACGGCTGCGATCTGTGCCCGAAAGCCTTCAGCCAGAGATCGACCCTCATCATTCACAAAAGGGGCCACACGGGCGAGCGACCCTACGTCTGCCAGCTGTGCAACAAGGGCTTCGTCTGCCAGGGAAATTTGACTGTACATCAGAAAACTGTCTGCGTTTGATACAAATTTTAATCGTGTAACTATTTTTTTATGCGAGTGTCACTGTTATCTTTTTCATTTCGTACTTTTCGCCGACTGATTGTAATGTTATTTTAACTCGCGAACCCTAACTAATTTATCGATATCACTTCGATAGCCAAAGAACTACTAATATAAATTATTTTACACCCACGACGTCTGGGATTTGAAATCACAACGTCATGAGTATTATTTTCGATTCAATTATATTATTACTAACGATGTTTGCTTTTAATAGTCCGGCCATCGACCGATTTTTTACGAAAATTGTCATAAATTCATTCGTTAAAATCGGTGTAATTACCCGAAAGGTAGTTGGAATATTCCAATATTTTAATTTGACTGATTGCTAGTTTTATATTTGTCAATGACTGGACCGAAAAGCTCATCGATAATACATTTTAATGCTCAAGTATTACACCAAGTTCTTATGTTTTTATAATATTTACGATATCCTATTTTCACGTTAATTCTATTGAAGTGTAACAACGATCTATACAATAATAGTTGACATAACTTTATAAGAGATATTAGACTGTGCACAATGTTATTATTGGATAAATAATAAATTAATGTTTTACCAATGAACATTTGACCATGATAAATCACAGTATAAACTTCCATGCATCATATCCTATTATTTTTTTTTATTCAGTGAAAAGATAGGTAAGTTGACTATAACAGCATTTATTTTTCAATCCGACATTTATTTCTCACGACGAGCTTCATTGCGATCGAGTAAAGCCACCTGAAAATAAATCGTGCAATCTAGCTTCTTTCAGCCATAAAAGAAAAACATCTTGAACGTCACGAAATTTCAAAATTCTGAATGCATCTGTAACATTTTCGTCAGTGATCATACGGGTAGTTTGCTTAACAATACCTCTACCTCATAATGCGATAGTAACGACTAACCAAAAATAATTCTTATTAATTAATAGCTCACCTAAAAACCCAAGTGTATACTAGCAATGATTAAACCGTAGAAGAATTATGAAGAGTAAAAGGAAATAAATTTTACTAACCAAATCTGCACAAGTAGTTAGAAATACATGTAATAAGTATTATTATACTTCAGTACGAGCAGTATCGGCACACATCTAACTGTTGAAGCTTCAAATCGGAGATGGGTAAAAGAAAAAAAAAGTTGCATTGTCCCGGTAGAGTAGAGAGTCGCGCGAGTATTAACAAATTCGGCGAATGTGTTTACAGGCAAAGCATCTGCTCGTCGTTGCCTCAGGCGCCGCTGATACTGCTCATCCAGAATGGCGACTCTTTTAGCAACGGAGTAGCAGCAGCAGCAGCAGCAGTGTCCAACGGCATCAATGGCAACGGCAACAGTAATGGCAACAGTAACGGCAAACACGACTACCTCGTCGACTACGACGATCTCGTTAAGCCGACGAGCAACGAGGATCGGTCACCACCTTCGGTCACTGCCGTCAAGCCGCCGAAGCGTCAGCGTCGACGTCCCGGCTGGTTTCAGAACAGCATCGTCGAGTTCGACTCGATCTGCCTGTCGTGCCCGATCTGCCACAAGTCGTACGAGACCGAGCGCAAGGTGGCCGCGCACGTGCGCAACGTCCATCGCAAGCCCTTCAAGTGCGACCTGTGCCGACGCCAGTACTTCACCCAGGAGAAGCTGAGCGAGCACCGCAAGACCCACAACACGGACTCGCACTTCGAGTGCCGCATCTGCCATCTCAAGTACAAGCGCGAGGAGACGCTGCAGTCGCACTTCGTGCGCGTGCACAGCGACTGCGAGGCCATATTCGGCTGCGACTACTGCGGCAAGCGCTACAAACTCAAGCAGGACCTGCTGCTGCACATCAACCAGGTGCACATGTGCACGCCCCAGATCTGCCGCTTTTGCGGCAAGGAGGTGAAGAACGTCAAGGCCCACGAGTGGCACCACCAGAACAAGATGAAGGCCGATAGCAACGCCGAGATCTACAAGTGTCGCATGTGCTACAAGCGCTTCCGCAGCGAGTCCAAGCTCGAGAATCATCTGATGCGCCACGTGCAGTGCTACACCTGCAACATATGCGGCCTCAAGTTCACCGGGCCCGGCCAGCTGATCAATCATCGCGCGACCCACAAGCCCGCGACCAAGTGCAAGTTCTGCGACAAGAACTTCACCTCGCAGAGCAACTATTATCAGCACGTGCTGATGCACGCCAAGGTCAGGCCCTACAAGTGCGACATGTGCCGCGAGGACTTTACCCAGCGCTCGACCCTCGTGCGCCACTGGAAGACCAGCCATCCGGGCAGGCCCACCGACAATCTGCCGCAGGTCCCCATCGCCGAACTCGCCAGACAGGTTCTCAAGAGCTTCGAGAAACCCGTACAGATTTAACGGCGTGAAATCGGTGCATATAAAGATAAAGAGAGAGAGAGAGAGGCAAAAATATTAAGAGGGACATGCCAAATATTTCATCAACTTTAGACTTTTATATACAGGGGATTATACCGAGTTGTTCATTTTCGAATCGCATTCCAGTGCGACTTTTTCATGTCTTGTAATAATTAAGTTTCGAGATTCCGTCCGAGTTTTATTAATCGAAGCGAAAACTTTGTCGCTTTTTATCGCAATATACTTGTCACTGCGTGCCAATTTAACGTGAATAATATATGCTGATGCAATATCGCTACGAAAACTCTGTGTGTACGATCGGTATGCAGATCGGCAGAGATACTCGTTGTTTGCCAAAAGAGCATTTAATCAAAATAATTCATAAGTTTTATACGAGAATCAAAAATTTTGATTTTAAATTCTAATTGATAATCATTCATTTATTAGCTATTCGCACAGTTTTCTTGCCATATGAAAGCGCAGCTAATCCTGCAATCGCTCAAAGGGCATTTATCGAACATTGTTTTTTATTTTTATGAGCAAGTCACATAATTTTTAAATGTTTTGTTTACGTTTTCTGTTTTGTTCATTTTTTATTTTCATGAGCTTATAATCAAAGTTTTTCAAATGTTAAGAACAGACCAAACTCATAAGTCAATGCTAAAGATTTTTTACGTCTACGCGTTGCCGAAATACTCAACTCATTGCACAAGCTTCATATACTTATTTAGTCAATTATTATTAAGGAAAATTTAAATATCGCACGAAAATCATATCTGTATTCGCGCACAGTTTGTACTTATCAAATGTACTTAATCGAATCATTAAATCTACAGCGTTGTCAGCTGTAAGTTTTCAGTGATACGTCGACGAATTTATTAATTTTAACGTAATTTACAGAAGAGTAAGATTTTTTATACTTTTATACTTTTATATACATTTATATTCACTCATTCCCATTTTTATATATCTATTTACTCATGCTTACCAATAACCAGTGCCAAATGTACTTAGCCATGCAATTAATACCAAGAGGCTTTGTCGCTCATTTATAAATGTATTATTTGCAATTATTATTTATATACTTTTTATATGCGTTTTGAATAAATATCTCAATAAAAGCTCGATCGAAGCCAAAATATAAACGAGTCGTTGCCAACTCTCTTCATTCAGACCTACATACACTTGAAAAAAAAACCGAGAAGCAAGTTTATCTACAATTGAAACTTTTTTTCCTACAAAAAAGTAAACGAGAAATGAAATTAGAACGAAGTGACCCTATTGTCTTTATTTTTCTGCTTACAGACTCGTTCCACGGGTGATACTGAAACGCTGGAGTTCATTGGAAATCGAGATGTACAAAAATCATTTGCGCGATTACAGTGACTCCTGGGGAACAGCGGCGCCGGTTCAATCCAATGAAACCCAAAACGATTTAGACGATAGTTCCTACGAGCACGACAAAAAATCGATAAAAAAGCGGAAAAAGAAAAGACGCACGAGCACTAGGCCCTATTGTAGAGAGTGCCGCTCCTACTTCAGATCCCTCTCCTGTCTTCAGATTCATCGTAAAAATTGTAAAAAAAATCCGTTGGAGAAACAAGCTAGCGCGATGGCGACGACGACGACCGATCCGCCGAAGGAGCTCGAGTTCGTGGAAAGTCGCGACGACTCCCCTGCGGACTTGGTCGAGTCGCCGTCCAATAAAGCCGCCTGCCGCGAGGAGGACGACGAACCTCGCTACGAGTACAGGCCGCTGGTCGAGTGCAACGACTGCACGACCCTGTTCGCGACGAGCAAGCAGCTGCTCGAGCATCGGCAGTATCTCAGCTGCTGCCCGAAGAAGCTCGCGCTGCAGCAGCCCGAGCTGTCGGACAACACGGACGAGGAGTACGAGTACGACGTGCTCTACACCTGTCAGGTTTGCCGAGGCAAGTTCGTGTCTCGGCGGCTGCTCGAGCTGCACACGAAGCGCGAGGGGCACTACCACCGCGCCAACGAGGCCTACGACAACGACTACTCGTTCGACTCGCTGAAGCACGAGAAGCTCGGCGTGGACTTTTACTTTCGCGACTGTCGAGACTGCGACAACGAGTACTCGTGCTCGACCTGCAACAACGGCTTCGTCTATCACGACCCGGACGACCTGCAGAAGCATCAGCGAGCCGTGCACAGCGCCGCGGACCTCGCCTACTACTGTCGCTACTGCGCCGAGAAGCTCAGCGGCCCGTCGGACTTTGACGAGCATCATCGCGTCCACCACGAGCTGGTGCGCTACTGCAGCGTCTGCAGCCCCAGTCACGATCCCAGACCCGACCGACTGACCAAGCCCCTGTGCCAGACCTGCTGCGAGAAGCTCGGCTTCGGCGAGTACGACTGCCTGAAGATGCTGCGCGAGAATCTCTACTGCGACGACTGCGAGCGAGGCCTGCCCTCGCTGGCGCACGTCAGGTACCACAACTGCCGCAGCAAGTCGGCCTCGCTGTCCGAGGGCCTGGCGCCCCAGCTGCTCGTCTGTCCGCTCTGCCTGACCAACTACAGCGGCCTCAGGGCTCTGTATCGGCACATCGTGCGCCACAGCGACGCCGCGCCCTATCGCTGCCGAGACTGCGGCCTGCTGCAAAAGACCTGGGCCCAGCTCTGCTCGCATCGGCGCAAATTTCACCAGGAGGAGGAGACCAAATTCGTCAGATGGACGACCGACGAACTGAGACGGAAGGCCGACGACGTCGTCAAGCGCTTCATCGACAACGGCGTCCAGCTGCTCGCTTGATACATATAGTCAACGATAACGAGTTCCTTTGCGCGCGCACGCACACGCATGCTTGCGCGCTCGTGATAATTTTACAAGTCACATATCTCACTGCCAAATGAAACTATACGATAGATTTTTAAGACAATCATTTTTTTGTTACCTACGATGAAACTTTTGTATTTGTATAAATTTTATACTTGCGAATCCGCAATGGTTACCATTTTATATTATTGTAAATAATCCTCGCGTCTTTGTGCAACGAATTTTCAAACCAGTAGACTGAAGTTCACTGCGATGCTGGATCGTTCTATAATTAATTAAGCAAAACTTATTTATAACGATGAAATTTTTTTTTACAGAGTTGTAATAATTATTCTTTATTGTTGAAATGTTTGCATAATTTTGCGTAACGTTGATCATGATTATTTTTTTTTAATCTGTAAGAAGCTCTGTTAAAAAAAAAAAACTGAACCGAATTACGAGAATATTAAAGATTTGTGTTGGCATTTTGAAAAAACGAACGTTTTTATTTCTGAATGTTTGCGCTGCTCAGCCAGCGGTTGCCAAAACG